GTTTGACGCCAGCCAGACCGTTATATATTGAAAGATAATCCAGCTGCGAGCAGATTATTGGAACTTAATAGATTGCTCTGTTGGTGGAAAAAGCAACCGGTCGCTCGCGGTAGTGGCGGGTGCCTTAGTCGCACCGTGAATTTATAATTATCTCCTACTAGCTGTTACTACAGACTCCGTGCGCGTTAGATTGTTACGAGCAGCACTGTTTTTGGGTATTGATATAACTGTATTTAGTTTAAGTCTACTGTAAACAGAATTTCATCGTTGCTAATTTTTAGATATCAGAAAACGCCAAGCAATTTCAAGCAAACTTGCAAGTGTCCTTTAATCTCTTAATATGGCCCTGCTTCAATATCCTTCAGATTAAATGTCCTAGTTTTAAGCTACCTCCCTGCCAAAATTCATGTTTATTGGTGATATTTCGTGATTAATTTATGTCTTTTTGCTTTTACATTTATCTGCTCTTAGCACCCTCAATCTCGCCATATTGCAAAATCCATTTCTAGCTGTCATTCCTGCTCCCTGAATTACCTCTTTACCAAATATCATGTTCATAGGTTAAATATTTTCCGAGATACCGTGATTAATGAGTATCTTACGCTTTCATATATATAAGTAAATGACGCTCAGTTGCTTAACATCTATCTTCTTATTCATACAGTTGTCATTCATGAAAATGTGGGACATTTCCAGGAATAAACGTTTGGATAGGTGTTTTTCTAAGCTATGACCCCTACATCCAATTTACCATTGAAAAGGAAGAGAAGAACCTGTCTGTTCCTTTTCTAGACACAAGACTCATCCACACCAATTATTGGTAGACTGATACCAGAAACCCATGGCCTCAGGCCGTTTCCTAAATTTTAGGTCATACCATAAACTAAGGATTAAAATCAAGTTGGTGAAGCAGATAAAAACAAGGGTAATTAGCATCTCCGGTAATACTTTCCATACTTCAAATTTACGGAAACTGTTCATCAACAATCAACAATGGTTATCCGAAGTGTTTGATTAACAGGATCTTGTTTAGTTCTCCTTCCAGTATCCAAATAATATTCCCACAACTTCTAATAAAAGAACTGATATAACTCCCAACAACTACATCAATTCGAATAACAATATAACCGCCATCCAAAACTCCAGATCTGGTTTTGCTGTCCTACCCTATATCACCGAACTGACCCCTAAGCTGATCACACTATGTAGCCCGTTGAACTGTCGAATTGCTTGCAAATCCGTCCTAACTATAAACTGTATTTTTTCAAAGATGAAAGACAGAGTCCCGTTGCTTGGCTTAACCAACACAGTTTACTCTATCAATTGCAATAATTGCAACCAAATATACATAGGTCAGACTTCCAGATCTCTAAAAGGAAGGATTTCATCACACAAAAGTGATTCTAGGCTTCGTCTCGAGAGATGTGCTTAGGCATTCATGTCAATACAACAGGGAACTCTATGAACTACACAAGTATTAAAGTTCTTGATAAAGAAAAACACCTATCCAGACGTTTATTCCTGAAATATCCCACATTTTCATGAATGGTAACAGTATGAATATGAAGACAGATGAACTGAGCGTCATTTACTCATATTTGCTGAATTGCGAAAAGTTGGAGCACTTACACATCTCTCCAAATTTTGACTTTTCACAACCATAAATGGAATTTGGTTTTTTGGTCTATTCCACCCTTTCCCTCCAAAATTCCATTCCATTCAAATTTGGAATGATTATTTTTTCTCATAATAAAATAATAACAGCTTAATTCAATTGTCCATCTCATCAGCAATATAGTTTGTTCAACTGCCTCTGGTCTGTTGCCAAGTTCTTATTTCACATATCTTGATAAATCACACCATCTGGAGTGATTTGGCAACATAGCACACATTTTACAAACATTTTTCGTTCCATCAATCGACACTGACACCACCAACCTCTGTCATCTGTCATATGTTCCATCCTACCTATTATCCTGTGGCACACCATTTTGTGCAGCATCAGGTGGTTCACGATGTAATTTTGACTAGAAGGCGTCATGGTGAAAGACGTGATCCACGATTTGACAGAGAGCGTCACGTTCACCACACCGTGGGAGTTATGGTATGGCAGCCCAACGCTATATTCAGGAAGAAGTGGAGCCTCATCTTATTCCATACCTAAACACCATCCAAAACCAGATTTTTCAGCAAGACAATGTCAGACCGCAGGTAGCAGGATCATCGTTAGCCTTCATGGATCCACATCGCATCAACCGTTTACCTTGGCCACCACGATCGCCTGACCTAGCTCCAATGTCTGGGACATGATATGTCGCAGCTCTCACTCACAAAGTTGCAGTAGCCGGGAATGAGATACCCAACTAGGATATCGACCACCTTATCAGCACGATACCCATGCTGCCGTGCTTAGCAGAAACGCCGTATATACAAAAAAATTGAAAAATGAGTTTTTTACATATTCTTGCTTGAATTCATGTTTTCTATATATAGAACTTAGCAAAAATGCCGTTTGAAGCACCTTAACCATAAAACAACATAACTATTTTGCAGTAACTAACAAAAATTTGGTTGCATGCTCATTAAAACTGCCGTATCTAACATTATTTAGCATAAATGCAACATCTTCCGGTCAGATTCTGCGTTTTTGCTAAGTACATGTGAATTGCCGCGTTCCTCCCAAGTACAAGTCGTGTCTTGACTGTTATTAATTATTATGATGATGCATTAAAAACGTGGTCAGTTGTTTGTTTTGGTCCGTGCGGATTGCAGTGTTTTGTTGAGGGTTGTTTTATTATGTCCAAAAGAACGAAACTAATTTTGGATCTAGCCATGGGTGCTACATACCAAGCTCCAGCTGGTATTTCTGAGTTACCTACACAAACCATTCTATTTGACATAAAAACTCAATTTTTATGATTTTTAGATTGCTAAGGATGCTAATCTTACAAAAGCTGGAACTAAACGCAAAAGAAAAAAATCACCGAGAGTTTGTTAAGCAGGAAAAAGAAAAAAGCCGAATTAATAAAAGCGCTGTCGGTCCTTCGTGTAATAAGGAAAAATGTAAAATTAGATGTTCAGTACTTTTTTCTGAGGATCACAGACGTGAAATCCATAACCAGTTTTGGGAACTATCTCATGCAGAAAGAAGATCATTTGTTTTAAGCTCTTGCGAACGTTTGGAAATTAAGCGTCGAACAACAGAAAATAATGCTGAATCACATGTTAGACATAATGTTTTCAAATACACCTTCAAAGACAGCCTGGGGTAAGAAAACATGTGTGTAAACACTTTTATTTGACCATTCTCGGATACAACCCAACGAATGATCGATTCATTTATGAAGTTCTATCAAAAACGCCAAAAGGAATCATAGTACCGTTAGAAGACCAACGAGGGAAAAGTCGTTCAGCAAACTTTATTCAAAAAATGAGTTAGATGCACATATTGAGTCTTATAATCCAGTTAGTTCACATTACAGACGTGCACATGCACCAAATGTTCGATATCTTCCCAGCGATATAACTGTCAGAAGCATGCATGCTGATTTTTTAGAAACATTTCCTAATATTAAGGTGTCGTATAATATATATAGATGTCAGGTTGAAAAGAAAAATATATCTTTTGCTAGACTTGGCAATGAAGAATGTGAAATTGTGTGAGTATGAAGCTTTATGAGCATAATGAAGATAGTCTTCAACCTGGATGTGAAACCTGCACGATTTGGAAATATCACATTGATATGGCTAAAGAGTCACGAGAAAAGTACCGACAACAAGCGCATGATAATGAAAAAAGTAACTCCTATTTTTCTGCTAACTTAAAGAAAGTGATAATGTTGCCAAGATTAGAGACATTTAAAAGGGTCTTATTTATCCAAAGGCTTTCAGTTTATAATGAGAGCTTCGTTCCACTGGGGAAAAAGTCTGGCAAAACCTTTTGCAGTACTGTGGCATGAAGGTATAAGCGGAAGAGACCAAGATGATGTTACAAGTGCATTTTATGCATTTTTTAAAAAACAAGGAGACTTAGAAAAAAACACTGTTAGGCTTGATAACTGCTCAAGCTAAAACAAAAATTGGTGCTTATTAAGTTTCCTTGTTTTCATTATAAATTCAAGTGAAATAAGTGCTGAAGAAATTGTCATTAATTATTTTGAACCAGGGCATACATATATGTCAGCAGACCATTTTTATCATCAAGAGGAGCTGTCCTTAAAGAAACAAGGAAAAACGTATGATTTTCCAGATTTTGTTAATGCTGTATCCCAAACAAATAAGGGAGCAGTAGAAATCAAAAACATGTCTTTTTCAGATTTCTATTCTTTCAAATCTTTCGTTTCACAACAAAAATTAAAGAAACAAATGAATCGAATTTATCTCAAAGACATTGTTCAGATTACCGCTCGCAGAGGGCAATATTATCTTCTTTTCAAAACCTCACATTCGGAATTGGAGCCGAATAATTGTTTAGATTTTCTACAGTTTAAAGCAACCAAGCCCAATGGTATGAAATTGCCGGAGCCGTTACATAAGCCTCGCGGTTTTAATTCAGAAAAAAAGGAAAACATTTTAAAAGTGTTGAATACAATAATGCCTGAAAACAGAAAAGATTTTTGGCGAAATATACCTGCTAGAGCTGATTCCAATTAGTGTTGTTCTTTGGTATTTAGCGCATATCATTATGAATATTTGTATTTTTGTTTTTAGTTTGTAAGAGAATCAAAACAAAAAGTCTGTTTTTAAATATATCGAGAGTATAATTCTATCTGTCACAAATTATTGGAAAGTAATTAGCAGAAACACTTAGCAAAAACGCAGTACCGCAATAATCTCAAGCAACATGTGACTTTCATTATACTTCTTGCTTAAGAGAAATGCAGTTTCTGGCTTGAAAATAAAACCAGTCATTTTTTTTCTACATTTTTGTGAAAATATGTTTTCTCAATTGAATATACTGGGTTATGACAATAGAAGGCAGCGAAAGTATTTGAACTCTCTTACGGCTCTGAAAAAAAGAAAAAACATGTTTTCCTCCATGCTTTATTTTTTGTAGATGCGGTGTTATCGCTAAGCACGGCAGCATGCGTGTCAATGAGTGTATAAACAATGGCGGTTCCTCAACACATTACTGAACCAGGTTCTGCAGTCAGTTGATAAATCAAGCTGAAAACTTTATCATTTTACTAGTAAGGGACACTGAACATATATGCCAAAAATTATTAAAATCGGATAAACATACGTAGGTGCTTACATTGTTTGTCACTCAGTGTACATTGTTGTTTCCGATGAGTACAAGATATTATCATTATACGAACTTAGTGAAAAACTATATTCAAAGTTTTAATTTATCAACAGCTTGACTGACAGTGGACGGTAGGTCAAATTATGAAAGTGTCAAAGTAAACATTTTAGCTTACAAAATCAACCTTAACCAGGGAAATTCTTCAACTTAACTCAAATACCTGTTTAAGGGCCGATTTCACCAACATTAATATTATGGACCAATGGAAAAGTACCTTATCGAAATGCAATTTGACAGAAGCTGCCAAAGGTCTGAATATTAGTGATTTCTATTGAAATATTGAATAAAATCGTGAAAATTCGACTGTATTATACACAAGACCACTTTTTGATCCCAACATGATGCTTTGGTACAGAAAAACAGGACAACTTTCATTTATTTTGATATATGTTATAGGTTTACATTTAACAATTCGTTATCCCCTTCAGCGAATGGGAATGCGGCAAATAATAGGTCGATTTTCTAGCTGCTAAATTTGGCAGCAGGTTTGGACGTTTGTTAATGCATCTGACTCTCGAATTTACCAACTTCAATATACTGAAAGTTATCATTACAAACCTGTTGAATAGTGTGGATTTGTTTGTATTTTGCAAGAAAATAGAATATTCCATCCAATTCCTCATCTTCCTTTACGTCATAATAGTAATCATTTATTAATTTAAGGGTCAATGAATTTCTTCAAAGCAATAAAAACATTATGTCCTCTCCATCCTAAACCACAGATAATATGTGTAAGACGTGTCAATCCCTGATGCATAATGCAATTACTATGGAAATAGACAAAAAATGATGAAAAATGTTTCACAAATAATGTCTTTTAAGTCCAAAAAACCATAAAAACTTGTAATGTTTTTCTTTTTGACTGGCGGGGATATCTATTTGTCACTCGCAGGGTTGCCAAGTCTAACGACGATCACGTCCCGTGGTGGAGGGTGCGAAATGAATCTTTTACATTTGCTGGTTTTACATTTTTTTCGTAAAAATTTACTAGGTATCATGATTATAAGCATCTTTGGTAGATTGTTCGATCCGGAATGGGAAAGATCTCCTATTTATGAAAATATTTTTGGTATCATCTAACCGTTGCAATCAGTGCACAAACACTGTGACATATGATTTATAGCATAACCCGCTGCCCTATCAATACAAATTTAACATACAGGTCGCCTAGCCGTGGGGATGCAGTGGTCGGGATGAATATCAGGGCAGCAACGGATGATTTGGGCATGTCTGGTAACAACGTATGAAGTGAAACTCGCCAACTTCACAAATTTGAAGATTTTGTACAATTTCTTTGAAAATGATGAAAGATATGTCTGATTTGGCAGGGTAATGTCGCAGCCAAATGGCAGTCACTCTTTCTGGCACAGTCCGGATCGAAAGATGACGATACTCGTGAAATGTATTGATACTTATAAATATTGGATCGTATCGAAAATCCCTACTGTCAAGATGTATAACCCAAGGTATCGACGGAGCTATGTTGCGGCGTCATGGAAATAATTTTAAATTTTCATTTGCATTTTTTCAAGTGTTGTGCAATGATTTTGGGAAACATGTCACGAATAGTCTTATAAAGCATAGTAGAGTATATTTCAACAGTTGGTGGAACTTACTCCACTGGGACCAGGAGGGTGAAACGGGAAATTAATGAACAATCTGGCAACCCTGTCGCACCCTCACAAAATGGCCGCTGACAACCACACAAGTCACCGTGTTGTCATTGAATAGCGTGGAATTAAACCTTCAGAGTATATGTTTTGTGACTGGTACCAAGAGTTGACACATCCCACACATGTGTCATTCGTTGAAATGCAATAATCAGCGGTATTCAAATAATGTCTAATATGAATATAACCTAGAATATGTACCCGTGAAAAAAGAAAAATATGTCAAATTTGTAGTTTTTTGCAGGTTTTAGGTTTGCTGGTAGCTTTAAGGTATATATTTGGGAATTTCTTAATCGCTGTGAATATAGTGTGGATGTTTGTTCAGTTCCTGAGCAAAGAAAAATATTCAACTTTACGGATGTATGGATATCAAAAAACCTGAATGGTTTTGTAGGAATATCAGTCTAAGGTGCCATAATGGTTCTGATGAACGGCAAGTAAGTGAATAAATGTTTGGAAACGGGCAATATCTTTTGGTAGAGCCTGTCATCAAGTAGGTGCTTAATGGCTATCTGCAAGAGGTTTATAGAAAAAAACACACAGTATCGCATATCAATTGAAGAAAATGATATAAACATGAATAAAAAATCAACAATAGTAATTAAAACGTGAATTTTATTCAAAAATCCAACATTTCTTTAAATTTTGACTGAATTATATGTAATTTCTTAATATTCAATAAGCTGGTGATATTTCAATGTCAAGTTGTCATCTCATACTTTGACAGTATTTTGTTTTCAACATTTCATAGCTATTGGTTGCTAAAATTTGTTGATTGGAACTTGAAGCTCATTCGCTGTATCTGACGGTCTGTTATCCTATAGGTGGAGAATAACGGACTGTTGTTGGTGAAATTGGCCCTTAGTTTCACAAAAGCGTTAAGTGTATCTGGTGCAATAAAAACATGGACGGCCAGTTTAAACTATTTTACGTATTCTACCTGAAGTTAGCCAATCTAATGCTATATTCGCGCGTGCAAATATTGTCTGATAAAATGAGGTACCGTCGCGTGCCTATGAGAATTTGTTACAGCTGCTTCTCTATCTACTACAGATATGTTGAAAAGGTTACTGTCTCATAGATGGTGCTGTAGTTACCTGTACGCTTGTGAAGGTTGTTCCGTAATTAACGCAATATTTGAATTTGCAGCCACGCTTGCAGTAAATTGTAAGCGGCCCTGAAAGAAGAATAATTTGAAAGCTGAGAGGTTAGGGTTAGTAAAAATGGCGCGTTATACGATGATACAACAACGTGTTTTCATTATTGGAAAATATTTCAAAAATGAAAGTTTATCGTCCGCAGTTCGAACATTTTATACAACATATAGCCGGATAGTGTTTTAACCTCGTCAACTGAGAAAAGATTAATTGAAAAATTCAAGGAGACTGGATCAGCTGGAGACGCTAAACACACCGGTCGTCCAAAAACAAACCGTTCAAATCATAACATAACACCTACTTGATAAAAGAAAGTTAAATGAATGACTTTGAAGGTATGTTTGATAGGCAACCAAATATTTTATATAGTTAGTACCTAGTGCAACCACAGAGGGGCGCTCATGCTGGATTTTCCTGTCGTTCTTTTTGACAGTCCAATGTTCAATGCTTTGACGTTGATGTGTTCGTAATTTTTGAACTGAAAGTTGAATTTTGTGCGGCGCCGGCGCTTTTATTAGTTTTGTGTCGGTATTCTCGTGCAGAAAACACATGAACATCGCATATTTCCCGAACTATCGATGGTCTTATGTTATAAAGAAACAACGAGGGACTGTGAGACTGATAAGAGATCAGTGGCAATGCTTGTCTGATAACAGATTAGGTGCTGTACCAGTTTCTTATGCACGCGATGGTACATCGGTAATACCGATTATTTTTAGATTACTAACAACTTGCATACTGCTACTTTTATGTATTGTATTAAAAAATACATATTTTTGTAATCAGGTTGAGCATTACTTTGAATATTCAATTTAAATTTAGCTCCACAGTCCACAGGGAAGTCCAAAGGTGGCGCTAGGTGTTGTATATTTTTAAAGGGTTCTATAACTTAGCTTCTATGAAATGTGCGGAGTACATTCCAAAGATGGCGATACAAACTTAGTGACAAACTTTAGTAGCATTACAGATTCCTTTATAAAGTAGGTGTTATGTGGTTCAAATGTCCATGCCGAGGCAGTGCGTGGGAGTCTTGGTGAAAACCAAGGAACCTCAATTGGGCGTCGTGGAAAAGAATTTCAAATTTCTCGAACCTCTCTATAACGTATACTCACAAAAGATAAACATATCCATGTTCACAAAATTCAATTAACACAATAACTAAAGTCACGAACAGCGAAGAGAGCATTATTGAACATCATTATGTGGATGCTGATTTTTTGACCAAAAGCATAATAAGCGATGAAGCACATTTTTACCTTCGCTAATCGCCAAAATTGCCATATTTGTGGTTTGGAGAACCCACATATGATTGTCGGAAAACAAATGCTTCCACAACGTGTCACTGTTTGCTGCGGATCTTGGGCTGGAGGCATCATTGGTCCATACTTTTTTTAAATGAGCCTGGTGAAGCAGTAACTGTTGCTGATGCTCGATATCGCGACATGATAACTCAGTTCTTTCTGCTGAAATTGGCTGCTATAGATGTATCCAATATGTGGTTGCAACAAGACGGTGCCACATACGATACATCCTGTTAAACAATTAAATTACCGCTTGAGACATTTCCTGGTCATGTACTTTCCCGTTTCGGTGATCAGAATTCCCCCCTAGATCGTGTGATTTAATACCATTAGGTTTCTTCTTACGGGGTCAGTTAAAGTCAACAAGTCCACAACCACCCGTGCATTACAAGAGGAAATTGAACGGTACATAATCGAAATTCAGGCCATATTTATGCAGAAGTGACATGAAAAATTTCGACAAAAGGGTGCGTATGTGCCAGCAAAGCCGTGGAGGCCATTTGCCCGATATGATTTTCCATACATAACCCTATCCTAAGTACTCTCTAGTTCAATAAAAAATAATAATCTAAAGAGTTAAAACTGTGTTTTAGATTTAATTCAAAACTTGCTTTGATTTTGGGTCACCGTTTATATGCACCTTTTCAAAGTAAATAGTCAATGGTTCAATTTAACTCAAGCTTGACCTTAACAAGGCAATTGAACTGGGCATTAGATATTTGGCAAACTTCTTGTCATTTGTGTCAATGCCAACCAAGAGCTCTAGATGTATTAAATACTATCAACGTTACTTCAAAGCTTTTCGTCCCTCTCATGGTAATAATTGAGGTATACCGAACAGAAGTACTCGATCAACAAGCAATCGCCTAGTTTAGATAATATCGAATAATTATCTAGATTAATCTAGAAAAATTGAATCGAATAGAAAGAAAATCGAGAACAGCTAGCACATCGTATTATCCTCCTTTCGACAATAATTTCAGGACTCTTTTGTGAGGACCTGGCTCCATTTAGATAATTTAAAATCAAATACCTTCTAATTTCATTGTCTCTAAAGATAGCAGTGTTTAGACAAGTGCAGTTTCAGTCTGCGCGGAATTGTAAAGACAAACTCAGAGTCCACTGACGAGAATTCAGGGGCGGGTTGGCTACGACTACCTAAGAGTTCACCTTTCCAAATACCATACAATGGAAATGTGTAGTATTTATAGCATCTCAAATATCTCGGATATTATACTGACACTGCGAAAAATTTATGCAGGTCACTCATATTGTTGAAATATACCTAACGCAAATATTATCCTTAACAATGCTAATAAAAATCCTTGGGGTTCGGACAATGTTGATTATTTTATTATTTCCATAGTGCAAGACTGTAAGTCAAGTTGGCGCTAAGGTTGTACAGCTGCAGTTTGCTTCACTCTTTCCAAAATGCGTGGCTTATCATGTACCCTGAAGGGCTTCATAATCAATCAATTAAATCAAAATTTATCTTACATAACATTATAAACTTACTTGAAAAAAGACTTTACAATACATAGCGATATGATGCCCGTCTACTTCTTCGCCTAAGTCGGTTTTAATTAGGCTCTTCGAAAGAGAGTAATATTAATTTATTTCTGCCAGATACCAGTTCAGCAGCGGTGGCCGCAGTAGTAGACTCTTCGGTCTCCTGATCAGTCGCCGTGCGCTGTACGGGTTCGACTCCCGTCCCATTAGAAATTTTTATCTTGGCTTTGGATGTTGTGATCGTCCGTAGGTGGTAGACGGTCTCTGACTGTCGAACGCGTAGGTACCACCCGGCAGATCTCGTAGGCGGGGCCAGAATGTGTGCATGTTGCATGCACACGTGTTCTCTCGCCATAGTCCGTGTGGAGTTCTCCCTTTCCCCTGTATCGCCCTATAGCCCCACGGTACCCCATGGGTGTTTAGGCCTTAGGCCTTCATGGTAGTTGGAGTATAAAAAAAGGAGCGATCTCATTGTATTTCTGCGAACATCTGATAGTCAACTACCATCAGCTCTGCATGCGTGGGCCTACCAAGCCTCCTTTATGGGTGGAGGGGCGGAGCTAAGGCCGAAAAAATTTCACCTCCGGTTCTTGTGGAGGGTTCAAGTGTTGTCCTTTTCTTTGATATCCTAGCTACTGAAGGGCGAAGTGAACGGGTAGGTCTGTAATTGGTTGTTCTTGTAGCGTCACTAGCATTTTCTGTTGCAAATTTGTGAACCTGATATAGTAAAGATAATTGCCGAGCATTTCCCAAAGTTGTTTTGATAGAACACAACGCGGAAACCTCCCCGTATCCTTATAAGCTTGCTTCAAACAAAGCTCGAGTGAATTCACGCCTGTCCAACCTATCCTTGGTAGAAGCTACAGCTCCATATTCCAAAATGGGAACAATGCACGCGCCAATTACTGGCAACTTCACATCAACGTCGACATTTGATTTCTATCCTATTATGGGGTCCAACATCGGAAGTGTTGCTCCAGCTTTTATGCGAGCGTTGATGTGAGATCTTGCTGACAGCCTCTTGTTAAGCTCAATTCCAAGGTATCATATTTTTACACGTCTCATTTCAGATTTTAATTACATTTAGGTGTTTCCGCTTTATAACTTTTTAGCTTCGACAGTTTTTTCGTAAGTATTATCTGACTTCGGAATTCAGTAATTGTGTGTGTAGAGTTTGAGCGAACTTGTGTATCAGTCTTATTTTTCAGAAGTGCAGGATGCGCCATCTTTTATGTCGGCATTGAAACATCGAATGACTTTTACCAACCGAGTGATTTGGATAACGTGTTTCTGAAACGTTAATTTACTACAGCGAAACAACGCGCCGAAATAGTCACAATGTACATTGAAAATCGTCGTGCAGTTGTGTTAACGCAACCCGTATGTCGTCGAAAATATCGTGGCAAACAGGCACCGTCTGAAAACACTATCCGTCGTTTGGTTTCGAATTTGTTTGAGTACAGGACAGTGAGAGATCGTCAACATACCGTTCATCAACGTCCAAGGCATTCCAATGAATTGGTTGAAGAGGTCAGAGACAGCGTTGCCCAGAACCCAAAAGTGTCGTATCGCCACCGCGCTCAGCATTTTGGCATCAGTGGAACCACGTTGCGGCGCATTTTGAATAATGATTTGCATTTGTTTTCTTATAGGGTGCAGTTAACACAAAAAATATTGGCAACTGACCGGCCACGTCTCTTGGAATACGCCCAAACAGTCGCTCGCAGGGTTGATGCTGGACCTAATTTTTGGAAGCAAATTGTGATGACGGACGAGGCCCATTTCACGCTGTCTGGCGGCCTTAATAAACAAAACTGCCGCATTTGGGGGACGAAAAATCCACACGAGATCCACAAAATGCCGCTGCATGACCGGAAAGTGACTGTTTGGGCCGGCGTTTGTTCCAAAACCATCATTGGCCCATTTTTCTTCAACAAAAACGAAACAGTTGATGGAAATCGATATCGGTGGATGTTGGCTCATCATGTCTGCTCACAAATGCGTGAAAAAGGTCTTGATGGTTACATGCCACAATGCGAATGAAACAATCCAGTTTCTACAACGAAAATTCCCTGGACGTCTGATGTCAAAAAGCGGTGACATTGACTGGCCACCCAGTTCTCCAGATTTGACCCCGCCGGACTTCTTCTTGTGGGGTTATTTTAAAAGTCCAGTGTACGCCAGCAACCCCCAGACCACTGAAGAACTTAAGTTAAACATTCGTACCGCAATCGCCGCTATACCACCAGAGATGCTCCAAAAAGTAATCGAAAACGCAGCAAAATGTGCACATTTTGTTTTGGCCAATAAAGGTGGACACTTGATCAAGGATGTGTTCAAAAGCTAGTCCCAATAAATTGTAAAGAACCATATTTTATAAGAATACCCGATATATAGAAATCAGTTTTTCGTTTTCATTTCATGTTTACATACCGACATAAAAGATGGCGCATCCGGTATTAGTTACGATTTCGACGGTTCCAAATATGACTTAGAGCAGTGATTCCAAAGCTGTGGTCCGCGGACACCTGGAGGTCTGCAGTCTCATCCGGAAAAAACAAAATAGTAGTAGAATAAAACGTATGGGTATTCTCTTTCCTATAAGAACAAAATATTGAAATAGTGATCTAACCAGTTGGTCATCGACCAGAGCGAATAATAGAGCTGAACAAATTTCACAGGCTGTCAAATCTGTATTACAGCCGGATTCACAGTGCCTTCCGACAAGGCCCTCCCCTACTTATTCTTGGTACGGGTCCAGTTAACAATATAAAAAATCTATCTCAAGTTGATTAAATTGATGCAAGAATACGATCTTTTAGCGTGGAAGCGGCAGTTTAAAATTCCAAGATTCCACTGCGAACAATTTTTTGAATTGAATAGAGGATCTTGTGATACTTAATTTTGAAGCATCTTAAGAGTAATTCATACGCGAGATGGCAAAATCACCACATTTGAAAATGGCGAACTTGGAGGCTGTCAAAGTCGCCCATAGCTCAACAACTAATCATCAAAACGCTATATATAGCATGGTGTATCATCCTTCTTCTCTGAGAAGGATCTATTTTTTACTGCCTTTATTTCGGATATCCAGGGTTACAAATACGATATATACTGAGTGAAAAAAGAAGGTATTCGGTTTTCATAATTTTTGGCATATATGTTCAGTGTCCCTCACTAGTAAAATGATTAAATCTTCAGCTTGATTCGTCAACTGACCACGGAAGCTGGTTCAATAATGTGTTGACGATCCACAGTTTCTTATACACTCATTGATACTCCTGGGCATCGTGCTGATGAGGTGGTCGATATCCTGTTGGGGTTAGGATTGCTACACGAAATTTAACATTTAACTGACAACGTAAATGTACGAAAACTAAATGCTTCTTTCTCCTCAAACAATACACGCAGCCACCACAAAGACTTAACAGCAAAACCTGTCCATTTCATCACTTGTTCACGACAAGATAAATCGAAATGTAAAAAATTCTTAAATTCTAATAAACATACATACGTAGGCGTTTAACCTTTTTTTGCCAGTCAGAATAAATGAGGAGCAGACTTTTTTTTTATCGTTGATACGTGGATATTGTTAGTGTTTTACCATGCACATGTCCATTCTTATGGAATAGAAGCGTGGGGAGCATCCTCCAGGTTACAAAGGCTTCTCATATTACAAAAAAGAGCTATTAGAACTATTGCAAAGGTGGGAAGGCGCTTTAGTTGCAGCGAGCTATTCACAGCTTTGAAGATATTAACGCTGCCTTCAGTATATATATTGAATATGTTAGTTTACGTCAAAACTCACCAGGTCAATTTTAGTTCTGTAAATTCTGGAATTTATAATACCAGAAACAGAGACGTATTGGAGGCGCTGGCACATAGGTTGTCTAGAACGGAGGAGTGTGCCAAATGCATGGCAATAAAACTCTTCAACAAACTACCCATTGATTGTAAATCACTACCGCTGATGTTATTTAAAAAAAGAATCAGGCAAATTTTACTTGATAAAGCCTTCTACTCTATAGAAGAGTTTTTAATGAGTTATTTGTTTTAATGTATTGTTCAATTTCAATTTGTTAATTTGTTATTTTAATTCGTTTTCATGTTTATACACTTCGTGTTTTTATTTGATGTTTTGAATGCTATTTATGTATGTAGGCAATTCTGTTTATACTAATATTCAATTGACTTATCCTATATCACTTTGTGATCCACAGGATGAATAAATTACTATTATTGTTATTATTTTCTAATCGCACTCCATATTTTAACATTTTTGTCCAAAGGTGGCGTTCGATTCATGGCACTGCTTACTACAAGATTCTAAACTGAAAGACACTAGAATCGCACTATTTTCAGTAGATATTTGACTTCAAAAGTATCCTAGACAAGCTAAACGCACCTTGTCCGATGGCAAGAGACAATCAAATAGTAATATAACGGACAATATACGTTTTGTCTGTCTTGTCAATGCTGCAGTACAACGGTATTAGCTGTCAAATGAGAGTGCTGCTAAGTAGTGATAGCGCAAAAGATATTATTCTATGAATAAGTTAGAACAAGAGCATATGGTTGGCGATGTTGATCGAGTTACCAGGAGGAGGAAAATGAATGCTACCTCCAACGGTAGGAAAGGTACACTTAAAAACATTGCAGGCCAGAAGAATAATCATAAAAAGACGAACATATAATAGTGGTGAAGGTGAAATCTTGTATAAGACCGAACTATTATACAGAAATGATGATCCCTCAAAGAAAGTTTATCTACATTTTTAGTAAGTTTATCAGGCCAAGATTGGGTAACAGATCCATAGCTAACCTGGTTTGACCCAATTTTAAAATATCTGTATAGGGAACAAGGTGACAACGGAAGAAAGGAGCAGAGCTTTACACATGGTGAATTTTAAGTTTGAAATCATTTTTCGTTTATGGACAAATGGACTAACTTTTGTCCATTGTGGACATTCAAAGAGCCCTTTCTCCATTAAACTTTTTTATTTTTTTAGTAAGCTATTAATATTTGCTGAGCCTTGTTACTATAGCAAACTGTTGATAATAAAATACGTTTTGACATGTGTTACTCGTTTTTCAAATGTTAGCAATAAGCTTAAAGCAGTTTTTCCCCTTTTCTGTAAAAAGTCTAAAAGGGACAATGTGCGATTAGAAAGACTGCTCCTCAAATGCTAGAATAGATGAGATGCCCAAAAAGAATTGTTCACCTCACAGTGCTCCCCTCTCGCCCTATAAGATAAAATCACAATCTATCTTCAAAATTTTGTGTAATAGATTACATTTTCTTGTTTTTTATAGTGAAAAAATACATTTATACAGCATAGAGCGCAAAAGTACATGGCCAACTAATCACATGTATCTAATAGATTTTACTCACAGCTTTCTTAAATCTAGATACGTTGGAAAGCTTGAGGTGTCCAGTGATGGAGTTGTAGGCTTTTTATATATTTTATTTGAAGCTTCTTTGGTGTACAGACGTTTTATGTCGGAGCTGGAATACAATGTTTTAACGGATGTTAAAATCATGTACTGCTTTTCTGAATTTCACATTATTGTAGAAGTAAGGTGGATCCTTGGTGGGCAGAATTTCATGACAAAAGCGTAATGTAACTACCTTGTAATGGTGTTTCATACTCAGCCAATAAAAGGGTTTTAATGTATGACTAACTCTCTCATATTTAGGTATACAAAAGATAAAACGT